AACCCAATCCCACACCACACTCAGGAAGGTGGGAGGTGGACGTTGAGGTCCCTGCACCCTTCAAAGGAAAGCAAGCTCCTGCAGAATGTAAAACAGAAGAAGGTGTGGTTGCTGCAAGGCAGGTAGCCAATCGCTGAAAATCTCCTGACTGCCAGTCTCCCAAAGCTCCAAGGCTGGGCGCCTGCAGACTGAAATGCCCTGGGGAGTTCTACCGAGGCCCCTCCCCCACCCCCAGGGCTTCTGATGCAGTTTGGTCGGGCGCCCAGCTGATTCCTCTGTGCCTCCAAGACCCAGAAGCCCTGTTTTAAAGACACACAGGAGAGCGTGGCCTTCAACCCGAGCCCTCCCCTGAGTAATACCCTTGCTGCCTGGGGCTTCCTATGTAAGACCATCTGTTCTCCCCATTCAACAAACACTGGTTGGACAGCCTAAGAACCCCCACCCCACACTCAGAGAGGCGGCCTGTGTGTAGAAACCAATTTTTTTTCTTTATCTCTACAGCCAGTGTGGGGCTCAAGCTCACAACCCTGAGATCAAGAATCACATGCTCCACAGATTCAGCCAACCAGACGCCCCCCCTTTTTTTAAAAGATTTTATTTATTTATTTGGCAGAGAGAGACAGCGAGAGAGGGAACACAAGCAGGGGGAGTGGGAGAGGGAGAAGCAGGCTTCCCGCCGAGCAGGGAGCCCGATGCGGGGCTCAATCCCAGGACCCTGGGATCATGACCCGAGCCAAAGGCAGACGCTTAACGACTGAGCCACCCAGGTGCCCCCCCTTTTTTTAAGTAATGGCCACACCCAATGTGGGGCTCGAACTCATGACCCTGAGATCAACAGCCAGACACTCCACTGACTGAGCCAGCCGGTGCCCCCTTAGAAACCGATTTCACACGAGCAAGCGAATACCCAAGCATCCCCTGGGTTCATGGTGGGGGAAAACGAGGAGACCATGGGCCCCCCGGGTGGGCCTCTGCGCCCCACCCCAAGGAAGAAACACACAGACCTTGTCCTCCAGCGCATGTCCGGGTCTGCTCCCTCTCCTCTGCCTGGAGCCTGGCTCCCCAGAACAGTGGTGGGGACTGAAGGCCACGCTCCACTTAGCGCGGAGCAGCCCCCGGGAACCCCAGGAGCAAGTCCTTCTGGTGGGGGGGGGCCACCTGCCGCGCTCAGGCGTGGCTCCGCAGGGGTGCCCTGGGGCCGCCGCCACACCGGCCCCACGTGCAGCCTGCAAGTGCCCTGGCCCCAGGCCCAGCCAGGAGGCAGACGCAGCCTCCACCGCGCCCAGCTGACCATCCCTGAGAAGAACTTGGATGCTTTTGAGGCCACAGCAGGCCCACAGGCCTCACAGAGGAAATTCTGTAAAAGCGCCCCGAGTCAGAATTGCTTTGAGTTCTTCCAAAGCCAAAGACGGCTGTGCTCTTGAGCAAAAGACGAAGCGGGCCAAGCACATCTAGGAGCCTCCCAGAGCCCAGCCGCCTTTGAGCGCCCCTCTGCCACCCCCTGGTATCAGAGCTTCTGCCTGAGCCTCTCTCTGCCTCCAGGAGGCAGCTTTCTAAGTAACTTCTACACCCAACATTGGGCTTGAACTCACGACCCCAAGATCAAGAGTGGCATGCTTTACCAACTGAGTCAGCCAGGCGCCCCCACCAGGCAGCTCTTTAAGCAATTTTTTTAGCCCTCATTCAAGCTGTGAACCAACTGGAAACAATAAAGCTTTCTGCAGAAGGAGAAAAAAAAAAAATTAAGTGGGATTTTGCTTTAAGATGGGGAGGAAAATGCCCTGCTGCCTCCAGCTTCCTGGGTCAACAAATCATCTCCAGAGAGTTGGCAATCCTATCAGTAAACACCTTTGGGGGTATCTACTCAGCCTCTAACTCTGCTCTTTGAGAACTCCCCTTTATGCCCCAAGAAGGAGAGCTTTTATCACAAATAGATGTTCGATTTTGGCAGATGCTTTGCATCTGTGGAAATGATTGTGTGGTTTTTGACCTTTATTAATACAGTGTGTTACACTGATTGATTTTCAGATGTTAAACCAACCTTGCATTCCTAGGAGAGATCCCACTTGGTCATGGAGTATAATCCATTTTCTACGTTGCTGGATTCAGTCTGCTAATATTTTGCTGAGAACTTTTGCATCTGTATTCGCGAGGGATACTGGTCGCTAGTTTTCTTAGGTCTTCATCTGACTTGGAATCAGTCACTTCCAAAAGGAGGGCCATGGAAAGCACACACTTCTGTAGTAAGACCGAACCCCCTTGTCGCCAGGGAATTTGGAATCGGGGCACAGAGATGCTTGCGGGCAGGCCAGTTGCTAACTACACATAACTGCCAGGCAGCCGTCACTTACCCTCAGCTGCATTTCTTCACATACCCCATATCCTTGGAGTAAATTCTCCATGGTCTAAGGGCCTCTGGTTCTAAGGCTCTCAAATGCCAAATGCCCACAGGGGCCAGGCAGGTAAATAAATTAGCAAAACAGCTGGGGTACAAGAGAAACCTGGAAGAGCATGGCCCTCTAAAGCAACTCGGCTTTAGCTCATCGTTCCTGGCCACAATGTGAGCCCAGCAGTACCCGATGTTCCAGTTTTTGAAGAGAAGCTGGAAATCCAGTTCTTTCTGTGCACTGTCCTCATTTTTAATGGCTGGCAACTGATTTTGGTTACTTTTTCTGAAGAGGTAAACACCAAAATACCAAAAAGTATATTAAAAAAACCTGAGGGGCACCTGGGTGGCTCAGTCGGTTGAGCGACTGCCTTCGGCTCGGGTCGTGATCCCGGGGTCCTGGGATTGAGCCCCGCATCGGGCTCCTTGCCCTACGGGGAGCCTGCTTCTCCCTCTCCTCCCCACTTGTGCTCTCTCTCACTATCTCTGTCTCTCTCTCTCTCAAATAAATAAATAAAATCTGAAAAGAAAAAAAAATTAAAAAAAACCCTGAAACATGAAAAGTCGACTTCTCACCCAAGACAGAGATTCACCATGCTCGAATTTTTGTGTATCCTTGCATGGAGTGTTAACTCCTTTCTCACACAGATGGTAGGATATTGTATGCATTTCTCCGCACCTTGGCTTTTTCATATGCTAGTGACATTTCCATACCAGCTCATAAGGAACTCCTAATCCATTTTTACAACTTCATAGGATTCCATCCATCTTTGTGTGTGTGTGGACATACTAGAACTGAACCAATCCCATCACTGATGGGCATTTAGGTGCCTTCCAGTCTTGGGTTATTTCAACATGTGGAGAATCACCGTTTGCATTTATCATTTCCCTCCTGTGTCTATTGGGAGGCGAGAGCCCTAGAGGTAGAATTACTAGGTCCAAAGGCATAAACATTTCTAATTCGGATAGGTACTGCCCACGGGCCTCCACAAGCATGGTATCTCACTAGCAATGCATGAGAACATTTGTTTCAGAACTTCACTGACAGTGTCATCAAAAACATTTCATGTTTGCCAGCCTCACAGAGTGAAAACGGAGGAATTTCAATATTCTTTCATACTTACTGGTAGACATTGTCTTTTCATGTGTTTAAAAATGCCTTTTACATTTTCTTTTCTGTGAGATGCCTGTTCATATCCTTTGCCCATTTTTCTACTTTGTCTCTTATTTATTGTAGGAGCTGTTTATATATTAGGGAGATTATCCCTTTATAAAATGAGCTGCACATAGATTTTTCCCAATTTATCACTTGTCTTTTTGGTCATTTGTCTTTCGAATTTGCCTAGGATTTCTTGTTTTGTTTGGATTTTTTTTTTTTTTTTGGTTGAGTTTTTGGTTTGTTTTTGCCATTCAGAGGATTTAACTTTTTTATATATAATCAAATGTATCTTTAAGGCTTCTGGATGTTGAATGATTCTCCAATGTTTCTGCCTTCTTATATGAATTCATTTTATACATCTAACTCGTCCTTAATCCATTTGGAATTTTGGAAATGTTCCTGGTGTACAGAGTGAGGTATGGAACTCGCTTTATTTTTTCCAGATGGTTACCCAGTTGTCTCAACATGAAAACATTTTTAAACAGTTCAGGGTAAACCACACATTTCTGCCAACGCGTGGGCCACCTTCTTGAAACCTCTTGCTTTGACAGACATGAAGTTCACATCCACTGGGAAAGCAGGGAGGTGGTTGCCTGAAGAAGAGCCTAGCTCTTCTGAAAATCTGCAATGCCCTTTATACCGGCGTCCCACAAAAGAACCTTTTCCTGGGCAGCAAAGTGACCCTGGCTAGGGCTATGGGGCCTGCTCGACTCAGCAGTCAAGGCTTTCCTTTACCCGACAGGCCATCAGCTCACCTAGCACAAGGGCAGTGCCTCCAGAACACCAGCAAAGGCCTGAGGTCAGAATCGCTGGCAGGGTCTGTGTCCTGCTTTCCCTCCCCTGCCAGGTGTCCCCAAGTGTCCCTCAAAGTTCACTGTTTGGCATCAGGACTCCCAGTAAACTTGGAATGGCCACGAGTCAGCTTTCCCACGGATATTCTCATGCAACCTCTTCCCTCCTCGCTGACCTGGGGGAAAGCAGGTGTCCCTGAAAGGATCCAAGGACAGAGAAACACAGCGAGGGCCAGTGCATGCTTCCATCTGTTCTGACTCCGAAATTTAAGGGCAGTCCCTAAGTCACTCGCTGTTGACGCTGCTGGATGCCACCCATCAACTGAGAAGCAGCACAAAAGTTGGCCCGTTTCGGGCCAGGCCAATCACCATAGTAACGCCGCCCACTGCAGTGCCCGTCGCCAGCCCTGAGGTCAGCGTTCACATGGGTCCCCTCCTATCATCCACACAAACAGCCCCCCAGTGGGCAGGTGCCCTTGTTCACTGCATTCTCACTGAGAAGGAAGCTGGGCTCAGAGAGGGTAAGCAACTAGCCCAGGGCCACAGGGCTGAGGTGTGCAGGAGATGTTGGCACCACCCAGGCAGGCTGACCTCAGAGCCTAGGAGCTCTTAGCCACAGTCCTGTGGGTCTCTATTTTAGGACACTCATGATGCTGTGGCTTGATCACATGACGTTCCCTTTCACCTCCCCCTGGCCCCTGCTTCGGGCCCCGAAAGGGAAAGAGGCCTGGGCGTTGCCAGCAAGCCACATGTACTCGGCCTTTGGGAAACTGGTCTCCTCACCGCTTGTCTGAACAATTAACTTTCCCTCTCCCTGAGCGGACACAACGGGGCCCAGGGAGTGTCTGAGCTTCCTTCAATCAATACAGCACGACCACGACGATGAACAATCTGCCGCTTACATGTAGCGACAGGCGCCGTGTCAGCCAGGGAAGCCGACACACAGACAGACGGCACCGCGTGGGCCCCGTCCGCCCATCCGCGTGGTACATGAAGTACAGACGGCGTCTGCGCGGACAGATGTCAGCGTGCTGGGAGCCCGGGCCGGGGTTTGTGAGAAGTCACTGGACCTTCCACCTAGGTGGACCTTTCTGTGTGTAAATTATACCTTGATCATTTAAAATAATGTATACAAGGGGTGCCTGGGTGGCTCAGTCGTTAAGCGTCTGCCTTCGGCTCAGGTCATGATCCCGGGGTCCTGGGATGGAGTCCCACATCGGGCTCCCTGCTCGGCGGGAAGCCTGCTTCTCCCTCTCCCACTCCCCCTAGTCATGCTTTCTCTCTCTCTCTCAGATAAATAAGTAATCTTTTTGGGCGCCTGGGTGGCTCAGTTGGTTAAGCGACTGCCTTCGGCTCAGGTCATGATCCTGGAGTCCCGGGATCGAGTCCCACATCGGGCTCCCTGCTCAGCAGGGAGTCTGCTTCTCCCTCTGACCCTCTTCCCTCGTGCTATCTCTCATTCTCTCTCAAATAAATAAATAAAATCTTAAAAAAAAATAAGTAATCTTTTTAAAAAAATAAAATACAAGTCTAGTACAAGTTTTTTACTAAAAAAATAATCTCCACAGGAAAGTGCTGGCTTCTCTTGAAACAAGGCGTCCACCTATACCTTTTTTTTTTTAAGATTTATTTATTGATTTTAGAGAAAGAGAGAGAATGTGAGAGCAGAGGGAGGGGTGGAGGGAGAGAGAGAATTCCAAGCAGGCTCAATCCCATGACCCATGAGATCATGACCTGAGCCTAAACCGAGAGTTGGATGCTCAACCAAGTGAGCGACCCAGGAGCCTCTGGCCTGCATCTTTAATTCTAAAAATGTGTCCTAAAGTTGTCAAGATCCAGCTTTATTCCTTGTTTTTCTACTGCTGTCTCTCGATTCATTATGTTAGATTTCCTTGAAATTCCAATGCAGGTCTGCAGTTCAGTTGTGCGTGCGTGTGTGTGTGTGTGTGTGTGTGTGCGTTTTCTTGGCTCTGTGAGGAATTCCAAAAAAAAAACACACACAAAAACCAAAAAAACCTCACAAAACCCAGAATTATTCATCACCAAGGTGAGAAATCTGGAATTCCAGGACAAGAGCAGGAAACTCATTGGCATGAAATGAAATGAAGGCCAACCCACCTTTGAAGACCCCTGGAAATCCTAATGATCTCTCCATTCTTGCTGGGAATCTAAAGTCCCGGTGAGGGGCTTCCCGATGAGCAGATTCGGAGGGTCAGGCTTGCCTCGGTGGCAGGAGCTCCCTCCGAGAAAGCATTTGCACCCAGACCACACGTGACCTCTTGACACCTTTATTGAGATGATTCACAGGCCGGCGGGCACTGGGGTTCGCAGACAAGTCAACCACCGCAGGTGAACTGGGAGCCGTGCGCCTGGGGGCACCGACCGGGCCCCGCATGATTCCCACGCAGAGCCCTTCACGGAGAGACGGGGGGTGGGGTGGGGGGGCTCCGAGTGCCGGGGCCTGGAACCACGGCGGCTGCTCGGACCCGCCCGCCCGCGGCCCAGAACCCCGGGCAGGCCCAGCCCCGGCGGGGAGCTCCTGGTCCAGGTGGGCGCTCGGGCCCCGCCCCGCGTGGGCCCCAAACGCGTCTCCGAACCGCGTGGCTTCCCGTGCAGCGAGGGAGGGGATTCAAAGCGGAAAGGGACAGCAGCAGGACAGGCCGACCCCGCGGCTGCCGAGGCTCACACGCGCGGGCGCCGGGGGCCGGGGGTGCGCAGAGCGGCCTGGCCGGCGGCCGCGGGGAAGTAGTCCTCCGTCCGGTACAGCGCGGGCAGCTCGAAGGGCAGGGGCGCCGGCGGCTTCTGGAACGGCAGAAAGCGAAGGTGCCCCGTGAGCCTCTGGAATCCCCTCGCTCTGGGACCCAGGACTTCCAGTCGTAGGAATGACTTCAGCCTGCGGGGAGCGTTGCCCCTGTGACAACGAGGCCACGGTCCTCTGGTGGCACTGCCCGGCAGGGCCAAGGCCACCCCCTCCCCCCACCCACGCGAGGGCGTCGGGCCCCCAGCGCCGGTCCCCGTCCAGGGCGGAGCGCTGTCGGCGTGGGGACGCACAGGTTTAATAGAGAGGGACCGAGAAGGCAGGTGTCCCTCACGCCCGCGTGCGCGTGCCGCTCCCTCCGGAGCCAGGGCACCGGGCCTGCTGCCGGGCAACTGGGGGGCGGGCTGAGCGTTCTTTCACTGGGTCCCCATCTGTGCCGCATCGAGTCGGTGCCATCTGAATGTGTTCCTTTTTCAAAAAAAATCAAAAACCATTTTAAGAAGTGCTCGCTTGTATCTGGTGCGGATCTTTGTTGAGAAGGCTGGGAAGAAGAGATTTGCCATCAAGCATCCCTCCCCAAGCTCCGGTTGCTGAGACCCCTTCTGGGGGAGAAACCAGTTTCACGGAGGACCATGGCAAGCAGGGCTTCTCAAACGTGGCTGCACGGTGTCCGCCCCCCCTCCCTTCCCGGGAGAGCTAGGAAACGCCTCGGAGCCCCACCGTGCGTCTGAGGACACTCATCAGGGGTGTGGCCCGGCACCGGGGTATTTCGAAATCCTCAGATGGTTCTCATGCAGAGCCACGGCTGATCCCAATGACTATGGCCCTCTTGGAGGCGGGACACTAGGCCCTGCTGGGAGATGGGCAGGCATGTGGGGCTCAGGGGTGCAGACGGACGAGGTCCTTCTGCAGGTCTCCACTGGGCGTCCCTCTCACCACCCTCCTCTTCCCCCCCCCCCACTCCCTTGACTGTCCCGCCTCCCGGCCCCCTCCAGCTGAGACCCACCTGCAGGTGCAGGTGCAGATGCCAGGGCAGGGGTGGGGTGGGGGCTCTGGCCCGTGGCCAGCAACGGCTCCCCCAAAGCCCAGCACCTCTGTGTGCCCCGCACCACGCTGTGTGCATAGTTGGCCTCCCCAAATACTTGTTTGCCCCAGCGACGCCCTGACCACCATCCCCATGGTGGAGGTGGAGAAACCAAGGCTCAGCGGGGGTGCCTGACCCACGTCCCACGTCCCACATCCCACGTCCTCCAAGCCTCCGCCCACTCCACCACCAGGTCCTGAGAACCAGCGCCAGCCAGGGCCCATCTGCGCACAGGACGGCAGCCCCAGACAACCCGGGCTCACTGGCGGGAGAGACAAAGGAACCAATAGAACTGCTATGTGAGGGCCAATGGTGGGGAGGTGCAAGGACCTGTGGAAACTGGAGGAGGCCCAACTCCCCCTGGGGGGGCGGGTCAGGGAGGTTTCCCAGGGCTGGAGCAGGCAGGGCGGGCTTCCAGACTGAGGGAATGGCATGTCACGGTGCTGTGGCGGGGGAGGGAGGGGCACTTGGGGACTCCAGCGGCTCAGTCTGGACTGGGGCCAGGTCACTGTGTGGACAGAGATGAGGCTATAAACCAGGGCCAGATCACATGGGCTCTCAGAGGCCATGCTTAAGAGCTTCATCCCAACGGACCAGAGAGCCACTGAAGTCACTAATCGGGAGTATGTGTGGCATTAGGTGTTTTAGAAAGAGCAGAATTGAGGGGAAAGAGGGGAGCAGGGAGGAGGCTATGGCCAGGATCCCCTAAAGGGAAGCAGCCAGGTTTAGGGTGGGAGTGCACAGATTCTCATGTCTGAGCCCCAAAGCCCTGAACTTTGCCCCACAGAAGGAAACCATCAAAGTATTTCAAGTAAGACAGAATGTGCTCAGGTGTCTGAGGACTACGTACCTCCCTGTGCCACCATCCCACAGCTGGAAAACCAGGATGAGCCATTCATCCTGGAGAAGGGCCAGCCTCACGAAAGGGCGACAGAACATTCCATCTGTCAACCCTGGGTCAGCCATTCTTGGCTCAGCCTACTTGGGGGTACTTGGGGCCCAGGCCTACCACCTGCCCCCTTCTTCTAGCACCTTCCTGGGCTACCGTCTGCCACCATGGATGGGATGCAAGGCCTCCAGTAGCTCCATGACCAGAGCACAACTGAAAAATGAGCCACAAGACACATCCATAGCCTAAGGGATGCAATCTGTGGGTAGCCCGTAGGCTTAGGATCTCTTCACCCCATTTCTCCTGAAACTTGGTCATTGTAGTAATCTAGAAAATGTAACTTTCAAGCAAATAATGACAGCTTGAAGACCAGTTCCCTGGTCCTGACACATGGGGGTCAAAGAACATTTTGTGATCCTGAAATGATAGGTCCCTTCTCCTGACCCTCAGGTCCCAGACAAGGGAAGGGGCCCATGAAGGGCCAGTGTGGTGTCATCCTGACCCCTGTTCTCTTTGAAATCGTTCCACCATTCAAAAGGCAGTGCCTCTGAATGGGCAAGACACCCCTCCCAGGGACGGGGCTTCTGGTTCCTCCTTTAAGGAGAGGGACTTCCAAAAAAAAGGGAGAAAATCAATATAATTAGAACCAAGAAGTCATCCTAAGAGCCTCCTAGTGGCCCTGGACCAAACCCCCGCCAACATCTTAGAGCACGGGGGGAAATGTGGGATGGTGACTCGTAGCTGGAGAACTGAGCCTGAAGTCAGCCAGGAAGGGGTGACCTATGATGAGCCAGGGGGCTCCAAATATGGCCTCAAGGGTACACCTGCTGCTCTTGGAGAGTGGGCAGGCGTGAGGTGGACACGGGCCTGTCTAGCCTCCACCGCCCTCTGGGATCGGCATCCTGATCTTGAAAGATCACTTGTGCCTGTGCTGGACCTGGCCGCCCTCCCCACCCCCTATGGCTCAGGTGGGGGCTGCGGGGGGTGGGAGGCCTGACCCACCAGAGCTGTGACCCGGGGGCGTGGGGGAGGATGGGCCATGACCACCTCTGCCACCACAGTGCAGGGCCTGCCTGGGACTGAAGCCAGCACAAGGACGCAGAGCTGGGAGACGGACTGAGACAAAGTCCTGACGCTATCACTTGAGCAGCCGAATCCATTACTGCCTGAGGCGGGAGTTACCCTGGGCCGGCTCCTGTCCGTGAGCCCTGCACTTCTCTTGTTTGCTTCAGCCAAGTTGACCTGGGTTGCTGTCACTTGCAACCAGGTGTCCTTAAACAATAAACCCACAGTGCAGCCACTGAGTACTTGCAAACCAGGGCCTTGAATCAGCAGGTGAGGGCTGGTTTGTGAGGCTGAAAAACAGCCAGATGCCCCAGCTGCGGCTGGGAAGAACAGAGCACATCCTGGAAGCCAGGCCCCAGTCACAGGCACGTCAGGACACCATGGAAACCCAGTCCTCCACACCCGTTTTCTCCTGGATTCTCCGGGCAACCTACAAAACTGGGGTCTTCCCTGTGTCTTTGAAGTGGCAGGAGCCAGAGGACCAGGACACTGGAGTCCACCAGGCCTGTCCAGCTCGAAGCCCAGCCTTTGCCCATCCCCAGACAGGCCCAAGTCTTTGGGGACAGAACAGCAAACCCAAACCCTTGGGAATCTCCGAGGGGACTTCAGAGATCTCTACCTGCCATCCCTCCTTCTACAGATTCCCCTGGGGGCGGGGGGTGGGGCGGGCTGCCAGGTAAGCAAGGAGGAGTGTCCAACTGCAGGCTCCCAGCTCCCAGCCTGCAGGCAGGAATGTTCCACCAGCCTGGGACTGGTCGGAAGATGGGGCAGTCTGACCCCGCAGGTGCTGGACTCTGCCCCGCCCCCTCTCCCAGAGTCTCCCTTCACTGTCCCCTCTCCCCCTCTGCCCCCAGTCCAGAGCTCGCCTGCCGGCTTACTGCACTGGGCCTGGTCTGCTCTTCCCTGTCTACCCACATCCGCACGTCCTCACTCCCACCCTGGACACCCGAGTTCTCAAACCTGTAGCCCACACACCAGACGGATGTGCTCGGTCGGCTTCATAATGTCTAAAAAATGGAATTAATTGCAAACATGCAACAGATCAGGAGATTTCTCATGAACACCAGACTGCCAGCTTCCCTTGGAAAATCAGACGATCTGGCAGCTCCGGGCCCACAGCATCTCGTGGGCTCCAGGTGGCTGAGCTGGGGAGCAGGGCTTGCTCTCCTGGGGCTCCAGATCCCTCCCAGCCACTTCGCCATTTCGACGGCCTGCTGCTGCCAGGAGACCCGTCACGGTTGGCCTCCCTGGTCATCTGCGCCACCAGGAAGCTTTCGCACAAGCCCCCACGAGGCCGCCACAGGACTGCGTTCAGGGCGGATCACTGTCTCCTAAGGCGAAGCTCACCCACCCCAGGGTCTTGGCTTTGCCCTTTGCCACCTGCCCACTAGTTTCCAGAAATCCCCACCCCCTCCTTGGAAGTCCTGGCCCGCCTCGTGTCTCCCTCTTCGGAAGCCCTAGGCGCACATCCTGAACCCTGGTCCGCTCTCAGCTCAGGCCAGGGTCTGCAAACTTGCTCTGTGAAGAGCCAGACAGTAAACACGTTAGGCTTTACAAGCCACAGGTCTCTGTCGCAACAACTCAACTCTGCCCTTGAAAGCCCACAGCAGCCACAGATAAATATGCAAACCAGCAGCTCGGCCGTGTGCCAGGAAAACTTCACAGAACAGTGGTAGGCCAGATTTGGACCCCCGGCCATGGTTTGCCCCTGAATGAAATCTGTCTTCCTAAAGAGATCAGGACAAAATTCCTTCCCTGTATCTCCCATATAATGGGCGCTGGGTGATAGGTCACCAGACCCGGGCTGGAGGATTCCGGGCCAGGCCCACTGTACTGACTGTCCCGGCCCGAGTGCTATTTGGTTGGCTGCCCTTGGGCCATCACTCCAGCTCCAGCCCGTCCTACCTCACCCAGCAGGCCACGCAGCAGCCCCACTCCTGGGCTGGCTTCTGAGGTCCACAGGGTCAGCCCCAGATCCTGGTCAACCCCTGGGGGACTGAGGCCCC